AAGTGTTCTTATGCAAAAAGAACAGTGTTCTTTTACTTTAATATATATTGTAGAAAGTGACTTCCTGCCATTAACCTCAGGAGCTAAGCTGTGATTAAAGCTGTAACCATTTTAAGCAAACACTTGTGCCACAATTGAATACACAATGATAGGCTGATTTTTTTGTTGCACTGAAATAATTAAAAAAAAAAATGCATAGGGGTGGAGATGAAAATTTGTTTTTTTGTCTTAGGAAACATTCAGGAAAGGTTTGCAAGATGGTGAAAGGTAAAAATTATAAAATCTGCTTGCTCTAAAAGCTTAAGCTGTGTATGGAAGGAATAGGTCTAGGTATTTATTTTGAGAGAAAAATACATGGAGCAAAGCGTGGTGCTAAACCCAAAACTATTCAGCAATGTCCTATTCCTCATCACTGTTCTTTCCATAAAATAACTAGCATGGAACTGCTTTTATAAATACTTCTTATGAAGTTGTATGAGAAGTGAAGCTCTTGAAACTTGATATTAAAAAAAAACAAAAAAAAGGAGGGGAACACTGGCTATGCAAAAACCCTCTCCTTATCAATTACCAAGTAAATATTCATACTTTGAAGAGTATATTTTTTCTATAAGACCTTCTGGGATCTGTGTAGCAGTGGGAGTCCAGTCTCCTCTAAGAATCAGTGTGAGGTGAAGGTATACAGCATCAGCTGACACGCCTTTCTTTTTTTTTGCCTGAAAATAAAATTTAGGCTTTTGTGAGGACAGACTGCAGAAAATGAAAAAGGTGAAATTTTAAATAACCACCTTGTCATTACTGCTCTGTGGGATTTGGTGTATCTTCACTACTGTACTAGGATATGTACCTCTGGTAAAATAAAAGACAGTCAGTGGTAAAAGACCATTTTATCTCCAGCTGCAGTATTTCTGGAAGGATATGTGTTTAAAAATTTAAAATAAAAAATATAGCTTGCCCTCTGTAGAGATACACAAATGGAAAAACTGGACAACAGCACTGACTGTTCTCTAGTTAGAAATTAATAGGAAGCAGTGTCAGGGTTCCATAAAGACTTCTGCAGATGTGCTTTAAATGTGTGGAATCTACACATTTGCTACTCTTCAGGAATTCAGGAACAAATTAAATTTGAGCTCTCTGTTACCTGTTTATGGAGGGTGGCAAGGCACCTTTGGTGATACTCTATACTAATGCTTATTAGTGCCATCAGTTTTACTTACACAAATGCATCTTACTTCCCATGCTTTCAGGTCACCAAACTCCTTCTGTGGAACTAAGTTTAAAAATGCTGGTTTAAATCTCTCCGGGACTCCATGGCAAATATTCAGTTGCCAGAGCTTCAATAGGAATACCTTAAATATTTCAGAACTGTTACTAGTTCAGTCATCTCCCTGCAGGAGGAAAAGTAACAGTAGATGTATAATATTGCTCTTACTGATAGACTGGATTTGTAATGTAGTCTAAGATCATGTGTTGTACCATGTATGAAATGCAGTAATGCTTTATGTGTATGCACTGGTATCCTGCAGTGTATGCTTTTTATTTTTTTATTAAATTTAGACACTGAAATAAAATCATCTGTAAGTGGGCCCAGTTCTTTTCTGTTTTGAGCAGTTGTGAATAAGGAAGTAGAAAATTCTTAGTGTTCAGAAAATGTTCATTCCCTTTGCTGTCTCTGTACAAAAATAAACTTGTAAAGAGATTGCAGCAGCTGAAGAATCAGTAATGAATAATAGATTCTTCTTTCCCCAGTCTCTAACATCTACATATAGCAAGCACATCATGCCTAGAAGACAACAATTTATGTTTTGCTTCTCTACCCTGTAGCCTTCTTCATCAAGCCTTGGGAAATGTGGCAGCTTCTGCATTCTGCTGATGGAGTTCTGTCTCTGTCAGGCTGATTAGGCCTGACCTTCACTGGGTGGGATTTACAATTGCCCTGTTCATCTGTTAACACACATACTCCTGGAAAGCTAGTGCATGGTGTTATTGGCAGGGAATGTTAAATTATCTGTATCTTACTTTAAAAAGGTGGGGACAAAGAGTTCTGTCAGCAGCTTAATTTATGCTTCAATCTTTGTGACTGTATTGAATTCTGCAATAAGCTTTAACCGGGAACAACATATACAACAATACTACTACAACTAATATAATGCTTAATATTCCGTGGTGGTCATGTTTTTTTCACTCACTGATTTGTCCAACATTCTCTGCTTTAACTGATGTTCATGTCTTTCTTCCACAGCTGTGGTGATATTGACAGTCACTTATTAAGCTTTTCCTCCTAGAAACAGCTTTTGGTTGTACATTACAATGTTCTGAACTGCTTTTGTGTTGGCTGTAGTTTAACTGCCAGTCATTCAAAGTAATTTTTTATTCTCTGTGTCTTCTGACTTATGTGAAGTATGTTTTCTAATATGAGTTAATTTGTCTTGTAAAACTGAACTTTCATTGTTTTCTTTATTAGCTACAGTTATGTAGCTAATATTCAGTTTAGTTCTTATTTGGAAGAATCCTTTAGATTTTTAATCAGAAAAGTCCAAATTAGAATTGAGCATGTTTTAATTTGTTTTCCTTTCCCTTTGAAATACTTTCTGAGAGATATACAATTCCAGCATAAGGAATTATCGATGTTGTGTATTTTGACTGAAGCTGATGGGGAAATTACATTTGTACGGCTACTGCATGCAATGTAACCAACTTACTTCTTATTTTTCTAGATGCACAAGAAGTTTGTTTAGGTTCCATGCACTGTCCTGGATTTGCTTTGTGCCCTTGTAGCTTCCTTTGTTTTCTGCTTTATTTCTTTCTGTACAATAGAAGACCTGTAGCAGGGTATCAGGAGAAATATGTAGATAATTCTCAGTTGCCTCAATGCTGTTATTATTGGAGTGAAACACAAGCATGCTGCCTGTGGTATCAGTCTGCTACTAGTATCTCAAATGATAGCCAGAACAGAAATTTAATATATTATATAAATTATGTATATTTCCAGCCAATATGTGATACTAGAGTGAGATGTTTGCTATGAACAAAGAGACAATTCATTTGCAGACATGGTGTTTGCCACTTGTGCTCTTTCCTTCACCTAGGTAGGGTACATGCCCTCCATATGTGACTGATTTGTTGTGGCTTTAACCAGAACTGAGTGATCAAAGCCAGGCTTGTTAGTCTAAAAATTGTGCAAATTAGTTCACCAAGCGTTGCAAGTGCTAAGCACACACACCAATTAAAAAAATGTTCTAGACAACAATTTCACGTTTTTGAAAGTTGAATAGGTTGGGTAATTTGCTCTAGCTGCAATTATAATTTCTTTCCTGTTAACATGTGTTTTGGTGGGAATCAATCTGATTGAAATAGAGTACCAGTAAACTTGTTTTCCTGCTTTCAGAAACCTCTCAAGAAAATAATTTAATTTAACATGGTATTTTGCTTTGTACTTGAGCCATTTGTTTATTTTTTATTAAAAGGCAGTCTATTTAAAAACTTGAAATGCGCTCCTCTGCAAATGATGCGAGCATCATTAAGCCCCATTAAAATAATTCTGTTTAGAATAAGTCTTCAAAACAACTGAAAATGGAAGCAGAAGAAGAAGATACTGATTAGTGCACAATGCAGTGTTTGAATGTGTCTGTAAACCAATATATCCTATTGTGCTGGGAAAGCATGGTTTTAGCTGTGGATGATGTCCTCTGCTAGGTTTGCGTAGAGGCATTTGGAAGATGCCTGTGCTGTTAAACAAAAACCTACCTCAGTCTCCTTGAAGGATAATAAATTACATCCACAAGCAGCAGGCAAATTTCCTGCTAGATTACATTGTGTGTGTGCTGATCCCTGATGCTATAGACAGTAAGAGCCCACTGATTGTACCTGGGCTGATTGCAGCTGAGGAAAGAATTGCTGTGCTACTGCTTGCTTTGATGTCTGCCTGGTCTTCCCTCCCAAAAACAAATGAGGTAGCTAGGCTAAAATTGGTCCAATAGGAGCTTGGTATGGGAAACAGGGAAAATTGTGCAGAATTTGTCCATCAAGAGATGGAGTAGGATATTCCCTCAGTATCTGCATAGGTTTCCCCTCTTCTCAGATAGAAATGAGAACAAAATATGGAGAAGCTGAGTAGGGCACTCTAATTCAGCTGTACAGGGAAGAAATATAAGGGAGGAATATCGTAAGGACTGAAGAAAATGCAGAAGTGTGGTGCGGTCTGAAAACATCACCCTCTTCTCTGGTTTAGTCTTATATATGCAAAGGGGAAGGGAGAGGAGCAGGTGGATGTTTGGGAAGTGAAGAGTGGAAAAGAGTCCTGACAGACATCAAGATACCTGTTTGTGTATGGACAATGTTTTGGAAGAAGGCTCCTATCACTCATGCTCTTGTTGTGTCAGGCCAGCCAACTCCAAGTTGTGCGTGGCCTAAACCCAGTAGAGGAATAACCTAAGTGTCCAGCTCTCTATGAAAATCTGCTTTGGAAAAATTGCATTAATGCCTGAATCACAGTTTCCTTGGAGGCTCATGGTCTCAGACTTGAAGTATTCTAAACTATTTTCATGTCATGCATCTTGCTGTTGTGGTACCTGATGGGATTTAGAAGCAGCTGGAATTTGTTTCATGATGCATCTCTCTACACATTATGGTTTGCAGGAAACCACAGGGATTTAGAGCAGGGCTAATACCAGTTTAGTCTTTCTTTAAAGTTTCATTATGCTGAAAAACATGGTAATTTTTCTACTCAGATTTTTGTATTTAGTTTTTTTCCCTGTTTTGTGTTTTCCATCACTGCTACCAACCAACAGAATGTAGAGCCAAGTTGATCACTGCTCATATGATGCAAGGCATGGAAACACAATTGGCTTAAGGAGGTCAGATACTATTAGAACATGTTAATGTATGTCACTGCAGCAAATTTATGAGAGCACACAGAATAAAAATTGCAAATAATTGCTGATTAACCAGAACACCAATAAAGACTGAAGATGTCTGCGTAATAGTAAACAATATTTTGGTAGGTCAGACGAGTGCCAGGTTCCAGTGGTCACCTCCATAAAACAGAAGATGGGGACTGGGAGTGGAGTGATGATGAAATGGATGAGAAGAGTGAGGAAGGCAAAGCTGCTATTTCTCAGGAAAAGGTATTTTTGTGCCAAGACATTTATACTCTATAAGACATTCTGTCTTTATGTTAATTGTTAGTATTTATGGATCTTTGTTGCATAAAGCTGCATAGCTCATATCTCACTGCATTTGTTTTCCAGTCACGAAGACTGAAAGAGGAGGAGAACGTAGAGGTAAAAATGTCTTTATCAATTTTTTTTCTTCCAAGCATTTGAGTAAAAGGATTTCTTTTTCGTGTCTACTGTTAAAAATGTGAATTGAGGTGGGAGTATTGTTCTGCAGCCTTGTATGGCAAGTGCTTGTGAGGATAGAGCTGTTATGCCATTGTGCCTGTAACAATGAACTTCAGCACACAGTGGATAAGATGGATAGGAATTTAAAAGTCACGTTATGTTTGTGCCCAGGAAAATTTATGAAGATAGGTAATATGACTGTTTTTAATGAATCTTTGTAACTAGATCACACTAATTACTGTCTGTAAGGGTAATGAAGGAGTAGCCAGAACATCTCCAAATAATTTTTTCTTCTGAGTATCTATATCATGACATGTAGCTTATAATTAAAAATTTCCTTCCATACACAGCAAAATAGTTCAGTACTGAAGCATATTAAATAATTCAGAATAATAAAATGTTATATATGATTTCATGGCCTGTGCTAAGTGTGGGATGCATTGCTGCTATAATAAATTGTTTAATAGGATTATGGCTTACAGGCTAAATGGTCTTTAAAAATGTCTGTTCGTGGAGTGAATGACCCTTGCCACTTCACCTGCAGTTTTAGATTCTCTGATTTTCGTTGGTGTCAGAGAAATCTAAAAACCTAGCAGCTTCCTGCCAGATTTAGTCCTGTTAGCTCCTGTGATGACCCAATGTCTCCATTGGAAGCCTAATTTACACAGCTGTTCAGCATCTCAGATACTTTATGTAAGCAGGGTACAAAAAAAGGACTTTCACCACACAGTCTTACTGTCTTAAATGTTGAGAGTTCTACTACTTGTGACCTGGTTTATACAGGTAACTCATAATAAAAGAGTTGCTTAGTTTATGAAAGAGGAAAAACCCTTTGCTTGAAGTCTTCTGTTGATTTTTGATTTTTGTTTCCTGAAATGCTCTAGCAGATAACTTGGAACTGAGACTAGTGCATTTTGTCACTGTTGGTGTGTGCCTCTTGGGTCTTTGGGATCCACGTTCTTATATACTGGCATAACATGTCTGTTGAAGATGCAGAAATAATAGTAGCTTGTATGAATGGAAGGAATTTAATTGAAGCAGGAAAAACAACGTTCTCATTTTAGTGATTGTGAAAAGAATTTTCCAAAAATTCAATTATGTTTGCTGAAAATACACGGATAATAAAATACAGATCTTGCATAACTTTTTTAAAAAATAGCTTTGATATGGCAAACTGTTAAAAAAAGTCAAATGAAATTTGTAATGCAAGTCTTTATTTTGGGAGGGCTTCTGAACCCTTTGTAACATCTGAACAGGCTGTTCTGTGACTGGTGAAAATATGCCAAGTTGGGTATGAAATCATAGTAGGTTAGAGGAGCCTGGTGCATTCTGTATGTAGGATACACTTTTGCTTGAGACTTCGTACAGATTTTAGTTGAGAGCTGGGAGGATATCACAGTGTGAGGGAGGAGTGATCAGGTGGAAGATGTCAGTGTTCCTGATTTTTATCTGTGGAAGACATAGTCTGAGCTTGATACCTGCTTTGATGTGCTGCTAGTTCCTTGCATATGGGTAGATGTAAGACTCCCTTAACAACCAAAACTTACACAAAAATAATGTGAGTAGCAGTTTGGAATTATTACTGTGTGCATATTATTCGACAGGTAATTGTTGCTTTGGTGCAAGGTGGATTATAAGCTCCTACACTCAGTGCTTTAATGCAGACCTTGTTTATTCCTTGTTTCTATGTAATTGAAATATGGGAATTTTACTGGTATCAGCTATATTATAGGCTGTGTACTGAAAGTGTTTAAAGGGTTTCTGAGAGTTAGAGAATGTGTTAAATATTCTGTGCTAACTTCAAACTGTTGGCATGGAAAGTTTTTTGTGATTTGTTTTTTCCTTTGGCATCCTTTACAAGACTTTTTGCTTTTTTCTCTAATAGTCTCAGCCTGCTGTTAGTGAGGAATACAGTGAAGTTCCATGTGCGGTGAATCTTGTCTTAAGATTAAGGTAAAAGATCCTTCTATTTATTTAGCTGTATTATCTTGATCTCCCTCATTACTTTCATAATATTAACATAAAATCAGTGCTGAAGTGTATAATCTCCCAGTATGACCAGTATGAATAGTGTTTCTGTGACTAATTGCTGTCTTTTAATTGCTTACTGAAATAGTGTAAAATGAAAAGCAGAATATGAATGTGTCTTCAGGCTAAGTGTACCCTTCATTAAGTATTTTCTCTCTGTTTTTCTGTATAATGCAGAATCACAGTGAGAAGTTTTTAATGAGTTTCTTTCACACTTCAGCAGTCAGCCTCTGACAGAAATAAACCATAGCTGTATTACAAGTTGCCTACTCAAAATGTTTTTCACTGGCAAGTTTGATCAGCCACTGTGGAGAAGAGATGGGTATTTTAGAAAATGGATACAAATATGTTGTCTGACTTAAATTTTTACTTAGTTGAAATTAGTCAGATTACCTTTAATTAAAATAAGTTTATAACTAAGGTTTGAATTGCTTAATTATGCAGTCTAGTGCTTGGATAAAACGATTTCTTCATATGAAACTTTGACAGTTTTTTATGTGTATGATAGCTTTTTAAATGTTTTTTCTTAAAAAGCTTATTACCACTCACTTTAAAACTTGCTTACATCCAGTTTGTGTTGACAGGATATCTATGTGAGGTTGTAAATTCCTAATTATTGCTATGGAGATAAGTTAATTGTTACCATTTTTAATGCTAACAAAAACATGAGAAGTCAGAAATAATTAGAAAATTACAACCAGTATGTTAGAAACAAATAGCAGATTTATGCTTAACAAATAGCTTTAAAACAGTAGCATCAAAAATTGTTAGTGTCCTGGTTCCACTGTTTGTAATCAGAAAAAAAAATTATACAGAATGAGTGCCAACTTTCAAAATCTATTTTCTTCCCTTTTCTTTGACTACTTTTCTAGTGGCAGATGCAAAAAAAAAAAAATGCATGGCTGTCAAAGGTTGTATACAAAAGAGAGGATTAATGAATTTTATTGTGGGAATAGGAAAGACTTAGAGATTATTTGGAATAATTTTAGTAGTCCAATTTACATAACTGCCTAGTTATGCTATCAATATTCTTTTCCATCTCTCTGCTGGCAGGTAGATGAAACCATTTACAAACAGACCAATTTGTACTGCTGTGTGGATGTATCAGTGAGGTGCTTTGGGTATCTATAAATTATCATGAATCCCAGAGAGTGATTAGCTTCTTACCCAGTTATTTGCAGTGTTGGCATATTCAGAGGGCAAGTGTTTTAGACCTGCAAGTACAGTGAAACATCAGGAATTATGCGTTCAGTTTGCTGCACAAAGCCACAAGTGAAGGAGGACTGATCCTGAGAGACTTGAGTTTCCAAGCTCTTACTTGCACAATGAACTTCTGTTCTTTTTAAGGATCCTCTTTAATTCATGGCTTGAAAAAATTCCTTCTCCCTACCTTTCCTAAAAGCAAGTTTGTAGTAATGAGGTTAATTTCTTATATTTATGAACATATAGGTGGTTATTGGTAGGAAGGGAAAAAACAAGAATTTCTGTTTTAAGAATCAGAAAGTTTCCCTTAAACAGAAAAAAACAGTCTTGAAGAGCAGATATGCTCTTGAGCCTGGGAACACTGTTGGCAGCATTGAAAAAAACCAAAATCTGATGTGTAATTTTGCAGAGTTTTGTTAGTTTAACTGTCCTGCTTTTGAGGGAAGAATGCTCTGTGGTGCAGACCTCTGTCCCATGTGAGCTCTGGCTGTGTCTGGTCGCAGTGGTAGGAGGGGGGCAGAGTTATAAATCTTGGCACAGGCTTTGCTTCTGCTGGCAGCCTGAGCATGTGAGTAGGGTCAGAGTGTGTGTGTGTGTGTTTGGGGGGAGTGTAGGGGTGTGGGCTGCACTAAGTAACACACTTTTCTTTTGTTTGGCACTTTGTGAAGGACTGATTTGACCGTGAGGGTTACAAGCTGCCTATATCTCCACCCAGCAGCATAGATTCAGAGACAATATTTAGAATTCCTTTATATTTACTAATCTAAAGGCAAGAGTTATTTTGCTTACGGAACATTCACCAAAGCTCAGACAGCCACTGGCTGTCTATATATATTATCTTTAGCAAGGTACCTTTGGTAGCACTTGAGTTGTGCTTCCTGTTCACTGTTGACCCTTTTCACTGTTGAGACTTTGTCTGGAAGTTGATGCAATCATTTAGAGCTTTTTGAGCAGAAACAACTTGGGAGCAGAAAGGCTTGGGATTGTGGATCATAAGATTTAAAGAGTAGTGCCTGGGGATTTGGGACAGGGCAAAGGGTAAGGAGATGGGCAACCTTAAAAAGGAACAAGAGGTGGGCAGAAAGAAGGTGCTTCTCTGCTTTGTTCTTTTTTCCTCTTCTACAATGAGGCTACACTATGACAGCCTATCATATTTTAGATGCTAACTTGATTTTTTTTTCCTAGCAGTATGTTTCAGAACAAGGTTAATACTACCCATAAAAATTAAAAACTGCTTTCATGAAAGAGGAATTCTGGCAAAGAATCAATGCACTTAAGTAATTCTTTACCTGGAGGGTCAGGTTCTTTTATTCTTTTCCCAGTCACAGCAGGGTTGGACTCATTGAGTAATTCAGTAGGGTGTGCTAAATTAACTCCATCCTTTGTTTACTGCAAATGCCTTGTTGGGGATCAGAAACACATCTCACAGTCTGAAATAATCCTTGAAGAATTCCATGGTACTCTTTATACAAATGGTGGTATTTAACTCTCCTACTCAAGAAAAGGGAAAACCATCCAGACTGATTTATTTGTCATTACCTTGTATTTAATACCTTTCTGTTTTCATAGACTTTTCAGTGAGCTAATTTGTCAAAAAGTTCTCTACTGTCAGGGTTACTTCATTGGCTGGAAACAGCAATTTCCAATTTTTTTTTCTATCTTTTTCTGTCTTGTGTCTTGGAGTACATTGCCCCAAAAGGGAAATTATCAGCAGGCTGTTCTAGGTAATTCCATGCAAAGCTCTTGAAAGGCTCTGGTATTAAATGCTTAATACGGGCCATTAGCGTTTTAAAGCTCAAATGTAGTTAAGAGACCGTGCTTGAATTTTGCAGCGTGCTGAAAATACTGGTTGTCACTGGCTGGATCTGTTACCACCGTGTGCAACGCTGACCCAGCCTGAGCAATTGTCACTTTGAAATGCTGATGCATTCTTCTGTGTCTTCTGTATCCTCACCCTCAAGAGGAAGTGGTATTTGAGAGTAGGGAGGAATGAAATCTGTAATCCAAATTTGTGTCCAGTAAGGCTGTGAACACAGCGTGTCTCAGCAGCAGACCCTGGCAGGAGCTCCACAAAGAGAGGCCAAGGCAATTGTTTGTGATTTAGTCCTGCAACAGGACTGTTCACAGCACCAGGGAAAGCAAGTGGGGAGGAATTACCACCCTGGATTTGAAATGTACAGTCTAACCACCAAGCTGTTACATATTTAGGAAGGTCACTATTAGAGGTTTGACTATTTGGATTAATAACAGAGAGATTTCATGTTAAATTAGGAGACTTGTTAATGGTTAATAGTAAAGAATTACAAATTATCTGAAGCAATCTAAGATGGTTAAATTAGCTCCTATGACAGGAAAATAATTTATTGACAGTAATTTGGAATGTCCCAGGACCTAATTTAATACAGTTCGATGAATTAAGCCTATGGAAGAATAAAAGGGGCAAATATTTTACTGGCTAATATTTTATTGGGATATTTCTGTTATTGTATATCTTATTTTGAATGAAGTGTAGAGAAAATGCTAAGGCAGAATTGTTTGTAGTGTCATTCTATTACTTGCATGTAAATGTTTGTGTGTATGTATAATAGAAAAATATTTCTTCTGCTAATGTAGCTGGAAACTGTGGCATTTGATGAGTTCTGAGAACTATACCTCCTGGGGATCTGGACAGACACAAGTCCAAGGAGTAGCTGGCAGCAGGCACTGCAGCAGCAGAGTTGTTAGGACTTGAGTCAAATGTGATTTCCTGTGAGTACCAGGACACAGGCGATGAGTATCGCTCACTAGTCTGAGCACAAGCTCAAGTGCTGATCTTTCTGCTTTTATGTTGGCCTGGTTTTTTGACCCCTTTCTTACAATATTAATTACATGTAAAGTCATAAGAAATGGTACTTGGCTGGAGGTACCTAGTAGAGCTACTCCTGTGTTAGTTAATACCCAAGTTTGAAGCGTACATTTGTAGGAATAAACCCCCAAGAACTATGAACAAGCAAATCCCAAAATCTGGTCTGGCTGGGGGCAGAATGAGTTTGATAATTGGGTTAGTACCATAAATCAAAATGCTCAGTTCTCATTCTGTTTAAAATATTTTTATATGTTTGTTTTGGTATGTTAAACAAAAACTTCCATCATTTCAATCTCTTTTGTAAGAATTGGGGCTAATGTATATCTTTTCACCCACATTTTTGCTATTCAAGTGGCTTCTGTTATCAAGTGTATTTAATGACAAAATCCACAAACACATTCCCAGCTGTGGAGTAGATTTACAACTGTAAAGTAGCAGAACTTCTGTATAGTCTGGGAATTGATCCAGTTACAAACATAAACAAAAACGTTTGTATGGTTCTTGAAATAAATGTACCTTTGATTACAGCATTGAGCTGTATTTTGTCACCACATCTAAGGGGTTTGTCCTGGGAATCTGGGAGGTGTGGGGATGTGGTTACTGAACTGAATTTTATTTCATAGCATGGAGATGTCATTTAAATACCCTGTATAACTGTGATTAAATCACGACTGAAATCATAAGTAGGAACCCTTGATTAAACTATTGATTTTAATCCTACTTTTTCTTTTTACATATATTATTTCCTTCAAAACTTGCTTCTTAAACATGGTAAATTATATATTTCTTACTCACTACTTAAGGATGTTTTTATGCCTTGCTGTATTTTTATTGAAAATAAATTAAAAATTGAAGAATTTACTTTAATTATCACCTA